TCCGAATAGCTATTACTCATTCAAAGTGACAAAACATGACTATAGTATTGTGATTATTGGATTTTAATTGTAGATATGTAGATCTGTTATGCTCTGTTTGGACACAGTTTGGATAAATTAGGAATCTACTACTTAATTGACCTTGCCAGTCAGGGCGAATCCGGGCTGAAAAGGATACGGCGTCCTATCAGACAGACAAAGATACTGGCGAAAAAAAGCGGCCCACACTGGAATAGAACTTACGTCTTCTGCTTACGACAACAAAGTGCCTAACTGTTGCACCACATACACCAGTAAACGTGTCTTTCTATCTCCGACAGCTATTTTGCTAGATCATAACGAGAAGTCAATTTCCTTGATTACAAACAAATTATCTTTTTCCAGACTGAGCATCGTCACTTCAGATTTCTTTTTTCTTTCTTACAATTAGATATTACGCTTTTCAGTTTTTCGCCGCTTGAATCATACCTGTAAAGGCGGGTATCATAAAATGTAGTATATCATCATTTTGTCTTCCATTTGCCGTTTTCAAAAAACTGACATAGACAGAAACTTGGCGTTCGAATCACCCACCCCCTCCCCCTTGTTTATACTGAATTAGATGTAACAGAAACAGACATATTATGAGCTTTTGATTGGTCATGTAAAGATAAAATAATGCCTCTAATTATGTTGCCTTAGACACGAAACATGAGCATTGCAATAATATGTAATGAAGGAATTTGTTAGCTTTTGTAACAGAAAATAGCTTAAAGAAGAAGAACTGAAACATGTTGGAGTAGTTGAAAAGTTATCTATCATATTTTATATTTTGCCTTTCCCCATCACGTAAACCACAGATTGGACCCATAGACATGGAGAGTTGTTGCATGTTCTACAACCATAAACCTGACACGACTTTTGCATCATTGTCCGTCATGTTGTTGCCTCTGTCGTATGGCATGAAACTTTTTCTTTTATCGAATTGTATGTGTTTTACACCCCATCGACACAACTTGGATAACTGTGAAGGCGAGCTGTCTTGAATCTGCCTGTAAGGCCAAACCTGGAGAGAGAAAGGTACAAAGTCCTAGCTAGAAGACGGAAATACTCGATATAAATTCTTCCCACCCGGTAATCGAACTGTGATCTTCTGTGTGCAAAGTTAAATCTAATCGCTATTCCACAGGTGCCTGTTAACTTTTTCTGTGACAGCTGGTTTCCTAACCACCTGTACAATTAATATGCTCACGATACGTTACTGTCTCGGCTGCAAATGCAGCCAATGACCATTGCCCACATCTTTTTTAAACATGACTTTAGTTGTTGAAGGGAATGAACTCGACAAATTGAAAACATGTTCTCGCTTTACCAGTCTATGCCTTGTATAATGTGTTAAATGAATGTGGTCAAATTCTTGGGCAAGGGTCCACATTTGGCAAAGATTCTTTCGCCACACTGCCACCATGCGGCCTGCTTTGGCCAAACATCGTCCCTTGATCAAATTACCGATATTTATTCAGAAGTAAGAAACGTGACAGAAGGTGTTATGAAGGCGGATTGTATCACTGAATGAAATGAAAGAATGGCCATGCTGGTACGTGTGAATCAATGATCTTTGTTACCATAAGTGATGAAACGTGATTGAAGATGATAATAATTAAAGCAGTTCTGGAAGTGCTAGGCTGAAATGTGAGAACGAAAGGTCTTAACACTATCCGTACGCCCGGGGCCATTTTGTACCCCCGGGGTAGCATTCTTCACATTTCAGAATACTTCTACTACGAAGATCTCTTTGAAACTTTCAGTGTTTCTCAAAAAATCATTTTGACAGACTGCTAGGCAAAGTGTACTGATCGGATTAACGAGTAAATTTCCTCTTTTGAAAGTGGTGGCACAGAGTTCCCTACGTCGTATGGATACGATAGCAAAACACGACGTACGTATAGGGTTAAACATTGTTGGCTTGATGAAGTTTCATTGGTCTCCAATAAAATTTCTTCAGTTGATAGTTGGCTCTGTTAGAGTGAGGCATAACCTTACTGCATTGAAAAGGGGATTTATGGCCAGTTCACATTAACATAGGTTCTCGTGCGTATCTCCATACTCTTCAAAATGGCGGCCACATATTTCATCAGATTTCCATGGATTTCAACAACGTGACACGATGTGCGTTTTGTTTTTCTCGGTCAGAGGCAGATCAATGTGTTCGTAGGAGAGTAAAAAAAATAGGGAAGGTTGTGGGGAGGGGGGGGGGGATAAAATGCTGAAATTTACTCCTTAGTTTAGTATTAGCAAAGAGTCTACATAGTTATGTACTATCTTTGGTATTAGTAAACATTTTACGGCACGTGCAGTACAGTAAGTTCATACATTTGTATAAGTGCTGAAGATTTGACGTGTTATTAGAGAGTAAAAACACCAATTAAAAAGGAGGAGAGATAAGGACGACAGTTTGTTTGATAGGAGAGAAGGAGCAAACCACATAAGAGCATCAGCAAACCACCTACCTGTATTGACTTCTACACTTATGTTCATAATGCAATGTGCTATACTGTCGTTGCATTGTGATAGTACATGTAGAAGTGTGTGCTTATTATAATAATATGTTAGCATTAATACTAACAACATAACAACGTATGTATGCACCTTCATACCCATGTCTTTTGTAGTAAGATGCAGGTATTGTTAAGCGCCTCGAGCTGTATTTTGTGGGAGTGGACGCTACAGAAATGATCGGTATTTTCATCATTATTATTATAATTTGTGTCATCATCATCATCATCATCATCATCATCATCATCGTCATTATTATTGTCATCATTATCATTATCATTATCTTTATCATTATTATTGTGATTGTTATTGTTATTCTTGTTGTATTATTACTATTATTATTATTATTATCATCATCATCATCATCATCAGTTTTATTCCGTATTTCATTTTTCAGCAATTCGCACACGTCGTGGTCTTGGTCAAGTGGGTCTTGTAGAAAAAGGTCAGAGGTCAAATTAAGCAACTACACACAGGCTAACCTTTCAGGTCCGATTCTCTTAATTCGACCAAATCGTTCGGACCTTTCTGTAAGTGAAAGGGGAATGTTCACGTTATGAGTACCCTTTATCGCCTCTGGGTAGTTTATCCATTTATGTCCATGCAGTAAGATACAGAACTGTGTTGGACTTAAAGCCTATTATGGCTATTCAAGTGCTGTAACATACGATTTAACCTTTTTTCGCGATAAGTCCAAGAATAGAGTTGTGGATGCTTATTAACAAATCTAAGCTCAAGAATGCTCAACTTGAGATTCGTATTTATTGACTGACCCACACAATATTTCAATCGGATATAAAATAAGTAAAACTTTTAGCCTTTTAACCACTATCCAGCATCTGGGGCATCTGGGGGCATGTTAAGGCACCTCCTGTCTCGTTCCCTTTCCTGTTTGAAGGGGTCTGTCGAGATCTGAGGCCGGAAACACATTTCTGACGTCACACATTGTTGGCGCCGGGTTTCCTTGGAGTCGACACGCTCTAGTCTGAAGGTGTCTGTGTGATTTGTAATCGATAACTCGTTAAATCAACCACACCTCACCGAATAAAATAGTTTTTCAATCTGTTTGTCTCGCCTGGAGGCATAGTTGGCATTTAGCGAAACATGCCATATCATTATTCCAAATCGTAAAGTTAGCGTTATTTGATAACAATTAGATTACTGTACGTGAATAGAAAATATATTATAAGAAGGAAGTAGATCTAGATAATTAATTAAAAAGATAAATAAAAGCGCTGACAATTCTCTCGGAAATTGTGGAAATGGAGCATTTCCGTAAAATTGTATCGTTTATAATAATATTTAAAAAAAGGTTTGTCAAAACAGAAACTACCAAGGCACAATGACATTACTTTTTCTGTAATGGAGATTCATGCTTTGGGGGGGGGGGGGTAACGGCAGTATTTGCCAGGGAAAAGGAATGTTTTTGATAGAATGCGTTCAAAAGCAGTGATCAAAAAGCAGTGACGCATGTCATGTGTGTCCTAACATAATTTATTATTATAATTTTCAACAAATAACTCGAATACGCTTTCTAAGGCCGAAAAGGTCAATCTCATTACAAAATAATTTGGTTAAAAACTAATAAACAAACCATTTTCAAGAGAGAATGAACAGTGAGGTGTATATAACTTTCGGAATTGTGTCTGGTTCTGCACGACGTTCGACTATTTTGCGTAAAAAAGTCTTCCAAAGCAGAAACCAAGATAAGTTTGCTTTTGCTTGCGATGGGTGGCAAAAAACTAACAATCCCAGCTGAAGCGACGACATCAAAGACAATCATCAATGGAGAAAAGTTATTTAGGTATGAGCAAGAGTTTATGGGCTTAACACCCCTTTCAACACTGTTATGTTATTTAAAAGGAAGGACCTCTGAATGTATTGTCAATAATGTATGTCTTTTGGCTGTTTATTAAGCATATTTAGGGGCTGGCGCCTTTTTCAACACTGTGACGTTTTAATAGGTGGGAACTCCGGATTTAATGTCAATACTTTCTGACTGGAACGACTTAAATTGGCTGAGAGCCTTGACAACTCCACAAAACGACCAATATTCAGGAAAATCCTGTTGAGGATTCGAACAAGAGCCATCCGTTTGGAAGTTCAGCATAGCACTCAGCTGTTTCGATTGAACGAGAACGAATGTCATTGTTTGGACGCAATAATTCTCTTTCCCTTATCTTCAATCCACCCCCCCCCCCCACCCCCGCCCCTCGTGCTCTCAACAGACAGACATTCTCTGAAAAGTTATATTTTACTCCCCCCCACCCCACCCCACCACCTCCCCGACCCCAACTCCCAAGCAAATACACAATGTAGGAGAGAGAGAGAGCGAGCGAGCGAGAGAGAAAGAGAGAGAGAGAGAGAGAGAGAGAGAGAGAGAGAGAGAGAGAGAGAGAGAGAGAGAGACTCCTAACCACCGAGCAGACAGCAGACGTCTAGCCGGCCAGGGGGCATTACCCCCATCAGTTAAACCAGTTTCGTCTGCCAGTTTCTATCACCGTCAGAAACCGGAGATCGAAGCCCTGGGGAGAGATAATTTAATGCAATGCCAGAGAGTGTGAGTCCGCTGTGGTCAATGGAGCAGACAGTTTCCATTTTGTGAGTGTGTCTGTATTTGTCTCTGAGTGTGACGGTGTTGATTTCCTTGAGGATTGCTTAGGAATACGGCGCCGCGTCACGCAGAGAGGTTCTTGTTTACATAGTGTTGTCATAGAAATAAGCTTAGAAATCTCTACTCTGTTAGGGTTTTATTTTCTTTGAGGTCAGCATTGTTTTTCATTATACTTATATGATAATTATTGTGCAGCTCACAGGTCATTGTTCTGAAGCGGGAATTTGTGCTATACACTCACAGGTCATTGTTCTGAAGCGGGAATTTGTGCTATACAATATTGTGCTATTTATCATTAGTATTACTATTATTATCATAATAATAATGATAATAATAATAATAATTATTATTATTATTATTATTATATTATTCCTACTATTGTTACTGTTATCATTATTATTATTATTATTATTATTATTATTATTATAAGAATTATTATTATTATTATTACTAGACACAGACCCGTCCTACGAACGGTGATATAGTGATAGGAAAGCCCAAGATAAAATGTTTGTACCGGTACCTGATTCATTGCCGTAGGACATCTGTGTAGACAACAGTGCTGGTATATGCGCCATCTGGTACTCCGTCCTGGGCAGCAGGTCTGTTTGCATGTATCCTAATAGAGTCCCTGGACCCAACACGACTCTTTGCGACATATAATTGTCCATGTGAAAAAAAAATCGCCCTGTAAAGAAATCCCTATCATTTTTAAAGTCTGTCCCTGAGCTTTGTCAGCAGTCATTGCAAAAGCAGGTCTAACCGGCAATTGTTTCTGTCGCATATGGAAGGGACATATGTTGTCTGAAGGCATGAGAGAAATTCTTGGGATGAAAAGTCTCTTTCCAGCATGTGGACCGCAAGCAACGACAGCATCAATTAAATGCTGATGAAGGTTTTGAACCATATGTCGAGTCCCGTTGCAGTGGCCGTTTGTGGGATCCAGATTTCTCAGCAAAATGACGATGCTATCTTTCTGCAATGTCAGTTTGTGGGGTGGCATACCTGACGGACATAGAGAATTGATAAATTCGATGGGGTATTGGTGTTCATTTTCTTCCACCAAATCACTGCTCTTGTAGACTTTTTTTCTCCGAGAAAGGACTGCATGATCAGGTTGTTGATTCTGTCTACTTCTGTGTTGGTGGGACTGATGATGCAGCGGGAAGCCAACCAGTCAGGATTTGTATTAGACTGCAAGTTACCGAAGACACAATTTATCAACTCTCGTTCGCTCTTTACTGTGATGTCATCTGGCAGTTTTATCGCAAACTCCACGCTTTGCTTGCATACGTTGTGTTTTCCATTACCAATGTCCAGTAGATAGTAGGAGAAATCAGCAGTCTCACCTGTAAGCAAAACCCCCATGTTTCTTGTCAGTCTGAGAACATTAACAAACTCCCACAGATATGATGATTTCAGCGTTGCATTGACTATCTGTGATCTTGAGCCATGGCGAACTACTGGTAGTATTTGGCGCCAGTCACCCGACATCAGCACAGTTAGCAAACCGAACAGAGAGTTATTCCCCCATATGTCTTGATGTGTTCGGTCTGTGGCTTCAAAGATGTGTTTGTGGCCCATCGATACTTCATCAATGATGAGCAGCTCTGTTTGGCGTAATAAAGTGCCACTGGCATCTCGGGGACTCACACTGCACATGGACTGTTCGTTCACACACAGAGGTATTTTGCATCTGCTGTGTAATGTTCTGCCATTTGAGAGCAGAGTTGCTGCATTGCCTGACAGAGCTGTAGCAAGGGTGATCTTCTTAAAGGAACGGACAACCGCAAGAATCAGGTTTATAGGGTGGGTTTTCCCAGTCCCTCCACTTCCCTCCAGGGCAAACATCTTGCCTTGCTTCTGTACAACTGACTCTATCACAGCATCCTACACGACTCTTTGTTCTTCATTAAGCTTTGGGTACTCTTGACTCACCTTCTCTCTCTCTGGTTGTTTGCGTCAAAATTTAACTCCTATTGGATAATTCTTGGTTGTTCTCCCTCAACATGACTGTGTTCTGCAGGCAGCAGCTAAAAGTCGTTATGCAGATCCAACACATCATTATCAAGAATGTGCTGAAGTTGTAGCAACACTTGGTTCTCAAGGTGCGGATTCAACTCTGTGACCTTGTCCCTCAACATGATGTCCCTGCACTGTACCAATCTGAGCTTGTGCCAAAGTGAGAGAGGATCAGCTGGGCAACAATAGATGAGAATGGTTGTAAAGGCAAGACGTAACTGGGGTCCAAATCTTATGGAATATGCTTCTTGTATTGCTGCATCCTTCTCAGTGTCATCATCGAGCAGTCCAAGTTGGTTGCATGCGTCTTGATAAGATGGGCAACTTGATCCATTTATTGTTTTCCGATCTTCAAAACTGATTGCCCCAGGCTTGTGGTGTAGTGGAAGTAAAATATGAAATGGCTAAAGGTAGAGTGAAAACATCCCAGAGCATCGAATTATAGGAAAAACCATCAAACCTGAAAAATCAAAAGGAAGTTTCCGAATTTTGAAAATATGCCCACGTAACCCTTTGGGGCAATTCTTGTCTGAATCATATTTTTGTAAATTGTATGGGCACCTGTGTAAAAAGTTTTTACTGACCCCGTAAACGGGCTTAGCTCCATTATAATAAGATTATTATTATTATTATTATTATTATTATTATTATTATTATTATTATTATTATTATTATTATTATTATTATTATTATTATTATTATTATTGTGATTATTATTATTAACATTATTGTTACTATGCGATGATGACTATGATAATAATAATAATAATAATAATAATAATAATAATGATAACAGTTATGGCAGTAATAACAGTAATAAATACAATAATAAAAATAATAATAATAAATTGTAATAATGATAGTAATAATAATAATAATAATAATAATAATAATAATAATAATAATAATTATTATTATTATCATTATTATTATTATATTAACTATAATTGCAATAAATACTGTAATAATACTACTGTTACCATTATTATGCAATTAAGTAATTATTAACATTATTATTGTGTTTTTACTCAGAACATAGTTGACATACATGAGGTACGTAAGAGTGAATGATTGAATAAAGGAGAGGGGTTTGGAAGGGGGGAGGGGTAGCTCAAGTGTATAGCTTTTCAGCCTGCAGTAATGTTCAAAACGTTTCAAAAACTACTCCATTTGATTTCTTCTATCAAACAAACAGAAAAAACACCACATGTGATTAATATTTATTATAATCATGAAGTTTTTGCGCCCAATAAATTAATTACAAAAATTACCTGACAAATTAAATGGCTGGTTTACCATCATGTGAGTGGTTGTGTGTATATGTGTGTGTATGTGTGTTTGTGTGTGTGTGTGTGTGTGTGTGTGTGTGTGTGTGTGTGTGTGTGTGTGTGTGTGTGTGTTTGAGAGGGGGAAAGGGTGGATGTATGAGAGAGAGAGAAAGAACGAGAGAGAGAGAGAGAGAGAGAGAGAGAGAGAGAGAGAGAGAGAGAGAGAGAGAGAGAGAGGGAAAGAGAAGGACTGAGAGTCAGTGTCAAACCCTTTGAAACGGAGTCTGCATGGGCTTGAATAACACATGTAATCTGTTTTGATAGGAAATCACTTTGAGGAAAAGGTTAGAGAAACGACACTCTATTGTGATCCTGGAAACTGTACCTGTATTTTTATATCAAACTTTTAATTTGAATTCCCAGAAAACAGACGAAAACAAAGCTTGTTTTGATTCACCTCCCGAGATCCAGTAATAGAACCGGGGTTTCAATTTACGGATGCTTTTAACGAATGTGGCCCAGCACTGCTTTTAAATAATGCATACAGTGTGAGAATTATCTTATCCTGGAGCTACAAAATGATTGAAGTACCCAGTGAGTGAACGCCCGACGAGCACAACACGAAGGTTAAGACCACAGATGTGGGAGAAAGGACAGAAAGTGACCGTAATTGCTAAGGTGATGCCAGAATACAATGGTGCATTAGAAATGTAATAATTATAATCTGTACTGTACAAAATATTATAATTATCCTCATATTCGTATTCCTCGAAATCAGGAAACGACAAATGCAATTTTTGGGACATCTTAATAGACATAAAGGTCTCGAACATCTAGCTCTCACTGGCAAAATATTTGGAAGGCAAACGAAGAAGGGGTAGGCCCAGAGCAACCTACTTAGGGAACCTAAACAAATGGGTAACGGTGAAAGATCAGGGAAACGTAGCTTTTTTTAAGAGCATCCGAGAAAAACAATGAATGGAAAACCATGATCGCCGATGCCGGCCGTAGATTTGGCACTGGATTTATATACTGATCCCCATATTACGTTAAACAGTGCTTATCAATCTTTTTCTTTGCCAGCACTTGTTTTTTTTGGTCACCTTTAAAAGGCTAAAATGTTGGTACCGGCCAACCTTCATGTATTTCCAAGTGGGGCATTAAATAATACCCTCCACTGTAAGGGTGATTCACACTGCCCACCAAAATAACCAAATCGCCAACAAGAGGGAGATATAGCGCAGATTGGCAAACACTCGAGTGTAAATTAACTACCTTATGGAAAATTTTTCTTCGTTGCTCGGAAACACTAAGAACAGCATTTCCTTTGATTCTAATTATTCAGGAACGGCGTTATGAAATAATTATAAATATATACATCTCACCAAAGAATAGGAAACAGAGCTCTGGCGTGCGAGGGCCGCTTACTTCACTGAGCAGATATGAAAACAGTGTTATTAAGCCCAATTCATATGTGAGGCATTGTGATGAATTCAGGCTTCCGTCAAAATAATAAAATCGAAGATACCAGCATTTTCCCCCGGTTCGGCAATTAATTTTTTCTGAATTTCTTTTTTTCTTTGGGGGGGGAGGTGGGGATGGGTTGTGCTCAACACCTTTTATGCCCTTTCAAAACACATGTCTGTGTGGTTTTATTGAAACACGTTGATAAAATGTACATTTTCAGCTTCCAAGGACCCTCTAGCTTTAGAAGTTATCAAACTATGGCGACCATTCCCTTGCTAATTTTACCCCTGAAACCAGGGGACCCCCACTTCCTTCAATCGCAAGTATCCCGACGTCTATTAAAGATAGTTAGATAATTTTTTTCATTGAAAGATAGACAACTGAACAAGCTTAAAGATGATAAAAATAACTTTACATGCCCAAAAAGTGATGAGCTAATATAGTGTAAAGCGCATAGAGCCTGCAGTTGAGCGGGGATATGCGCTATACAAATGCTATTTATGATTATTACTTATTATTATTATTATTATTATTATTATTATTATTATGAGCTCCTGATTCTACCGCGTCGAGACATATTAGTTTGTATTAGGCATGCGAGATTTTAGAACACGTAACGATTTTTAAAAACGGTACAAACTTTCTGTTCTCTTGACGCGTGTATTAAAAGTGAAAACGGCACTGAGAGAAAGATTAAATAATCACAACTCGAGCGCGTAGCGTGTGTGTGTGTGTGTGTGTGTGTGTGTGTGTGTGTGTGTGTGTGTGTGTGTGTGTGTGTGTGTGTGTGTGTGTAATGTGTGTGTGTGTTGGGGGGGGGGATGGGTGTATGGTTACTTTATTGAATAAAAAATAAAAGTAATATTATTAATAGTAAGTGCTATAGCGCGCTCTGTTCGGGTTACCCCCTCTGTGGAAACGTCCATACTCTCCTTGTCTCATGCTCCAGCTCCTCATATAATTGTTGGTCGTTTCGACGGTACCAGTCTCATTGTAAACCAAAGCCAAAGGGTCAAGTGGATTGAAGATTTCAGGAGATCTGTGTTCTTGAAGTGTTGGTTTGTCCTGAGTTTCTTCTTAAACTAATGGGATTTCTGTGTTTTTCCTATTGATCTATCTTTTTAACTTGTCTGATTTTTTTAAATGTTTAAACAAAACAAGCGTAACTTCCTCCAATAATAGAGTCATTGTGGAACTGTTAATCAATGGTGAGCACTATTCTGCTATTTTAGATATAGGAACATGGTGCAGGTAAAAGAAAACTTTGACCTCCCCCCCCCAGCCATCCTTATAATAAGTGAAAAGAGACTTTCTTGTCACAGTAACCCAAATCGCTACTCTATAATTACAAAGTTCTATGCTCAGAGCCTAGCTTTGAAAAAATTGACGTTAAATTTCTTTTATTTTCATAAAATGTCAAGCTTTTTCAAATTATGCAATTGTTTGATCTCTTGATGACGACTCCAAATAATCTTACGATTTTGATAGAGCAGATGGAACATTAATTCCGTTTCTGACTCATGGACATTGGTATCTCAAAATAGCCAAATATGTCTGACAGAAATTCGCAATTCTAGGGTAGCCAATGTAGCCCCTTAGAAATAAGTGGAAACACTAAATGTGTGTACGAGGCCAAGTAAGGTCAAAATAAGAGGGAGGGGTTTAAAGTTTTCTTTTACCTTTTAGTCCTCAGAACATTTTGACTTTCCGTTTGGATCTGAAAGTGACAGTAATATTGTCCTTTCTCTTTTAAATAAATAACCGGACTAATATATTGCATTTTTTGATAGATTAAGACATTGGCTGTGAACAAACTTTTCAGTTTCAGTTTAGTAGAGGGTTTTACGGCGCTCACAACTGCATACGGTCATATGAGCGCCAGAACAAACTTTGCTCAGTGTAAGTCTAAAAAGGCTTAAGCTCTCATTTCCCCCTTTTTGAAACTTGCTTCTGATTAGTGCAGAGAACAGACAACTATCAGATAATCTCTTTATGTAAGCTAAGCTAAATGTGGAGTATGACTAAGACCAGAAAGTTCAAAGAAAAGTAAAGACCAAAAGATTTCAGGAATAACGCAGACCACTAACTTTCACTTTTAAAAGAAGATCGAAGACCACAAACTTTTTCAGAAGGACAAAACCCACAAACTTTCCTTAACAAGAAGGACAAAATCCCACAAACTTTCAGGAAGCACAACGACCACGAACTTGCACTAACAAGACGAACGGAGACGGCAAACTTTTGAGAAGGACAACAACCACAAACTTTCAAGAAGAACAAAGACCACAAACTTTGGCTATCAAGAAGGACAAAGACCACAAACTTTGGCTATCAAGAAGAACAAAGACCACAAACTTTGGCTATCAAGAAGAACAAAGACCACAAACGTTGGCTATCAAGAAGAACAAAGACCACACACGTTGGCTATCAAGAAGGACAAAGACCACAAACTTTCCCTTTTAAAAAGGACAACGACCACAAACGTTCACTTTCAAGAAGGACAAAGATAACAAGCTCTCAGGAGGAAGAACCGGCAAAGGAAGAAACATACAGACAGACACAGAGCTAGACGGAAACGTCTACGACCACCAGCATGAGTTTCCCCCACACACCTAACGCCACCATGAGCTGTGTGCCGGGAGAACGCTTCCACCCTTATTTGCCAGATCCTGAATTCTTTCTCATGTTCTCGTCTCCAAAGAAACCACCTGAGTACCCAGCTTGGGAGATTGCGCTCAAGGTGAGTTTTTTCAGTGTTGTTGTTTGTTTCGTTTTATTTTTCCCTTTAAATAATTTGAAACTGCCCCCCACCCTCCCCGCGCCCCCTTTTCCACAAGGGGGACCAGGAAGTTATCCATTGACCCATTATAACAAAACAAGTACGGTACTCAACGTCCACAGCTGCTACTCGTGAAAACGTGGCACCCAAATTACGTGAGGCAGCGGACGAAAAAAAGAAAGGGAAACAAAGAAAAATAAATTATACCATTGTGGTGAGATCACGACTCTCTCGAGATGAATCGAACCTAGTACAACTATTGTTGTTACTGTTAATAATGAACAAGATTTCTCGTGCATGTTGTTTAGAATGAAAACCGAGCCGGCGGATAAAAAATAATGACCAGAAATGAAATGGATAATCAAGAACGATCTAATCTGTTTTAATAGTTCGTGTTTGTCACGCAAACGCTGAGATCAATAGGGTCAATTTACTCAATTATTCTGTGGTCATCGTGAAAACGTGGAACCACAAAGATATCGGGTAACAGATTTTCCGTTTGTGTCTTGCTTTCTCTCTCTCTTTGCCCCCCCCCCTCTCTCTCTCTGTATCTCTCTTCTCTCTTTTTCTTTCTTTCTTTCTTTCTTTCTTTCTTTCTCTCTCTCTCTCTGCCAACATCTCTCTCTCTCTCTCTCTCTCTCTCTCTCTCTCTCTCTCTCTCTCTCTCTCTTTCTCTCTTTCTGTTAATTTCTCAGTCTCTTTGAACCATCCTCTTACTGCGTTTTTCCCTTTATCTCTGTCTATCTCCCATCCTCTCTTTCTCCTGCTATCTATCCCACTATCTCCACTCCTTTTCTTCCCCCTCTCTCTCCTTCTCCCTTACTCTCTCTCTCTTTCTCTGACTCTCTCTCTCCCCTCCCCCTCTCTCTCTCTCTCTCTCTCTCTCCCTCTCTCTCTCTCTTGTTGTCTATTTCTCCTTATACCTGTCCTTTTTCCTTTTTACGTATAACCTACTTTTCTCCTACCGTCTCGATTCCGTCTAGTCTACACGTCTTTCTTTTATTCCCTATCTCTGTTATTTTCCCACATCCTCATTCCCCCATCCCCGGTACCTCTCTCCGTCCCCTTCTCTATCTCTCTCTCTCTCTCTCTCTCTCTCTCTCTCTCTCTCTCTCTCGATCTCTCACTCTCTCTCTCTATCGATCTCTCACTCTCTCTCGATCTCTTTCTCTCTCTCCTCTTTCACCTTTTTCATATATCTATCTATCTATCTATCTATCTATCTATCTATCTATCTATCTATCTATCTATCTATCTATCTATCTATCTATCTGTCTATCTAGATTGCTGAGAATTGGTTTCAGATACCCCCCCCCCCACAGAGAAGTCAACCAAAACACCATCCTTTGTGTTGGGTGTATTCTCACCAAACAAAAAGCCGTCCTTTTTGTTATTTTTTGTTTGTTTATTTGTTTCAATAAACGTGCCTTACGCCGCTATCGACACAATCTAGATCATTTAGGCGGCAGGCTTCGACACTTCCTGTCAGCGCCAACCCAGGCTGAGATGATTGCAAAGTTAACGTCCTTGTCGTCTAATCAAGACGTTTGACGTAGAATAGGATCATCGAGGGTTAATAAACCTCCGGACGTTGCATTCTTTGAGCGCCCCACTGGCTCAGTTAGCAGGCCCATCATGCCGGATTACGGAGAGGTTAACCCTGAGTCAAATCCACTGAACCTAGGTTGTGTTTGGGGAGTTTGAAAGGCTCTATTCCCATTCAACTCGGTCCTATCGGACATTTGGCCTGTCTGTGCTAGGAGATGGAAATAGATTCGTGTCTCATCCCCTTAGACATCCTGAAAGGATCTAGATCAGACGAAAAAAAGTAAGTTAGTGGAAGTGATTCGAACAAAATAACATGAATTATTTTTGGAGATTTGATAAATACAAATTTGGAAAAGATCTAGAATATATTCTAGAAATCGTTTTTGAAATTACCAGAGCACCCGCCAACCCACTCTCTTGTCCACCCGTCTGTCTATATTGTCCAGATTCTCTTCTACGTTCTGGCCATCCTCCTGGACATCGTGGGCAACTCCCTGGTCATCATCATCATGTTCGTCAACCAACGCATGCGCACAACGACCAACGTGCTAATTCTGAATCTGGCGGTCAGCGACTTCATGGTCGGTATCTCCTGTATGTGGATCCATGTCGGCGCACAGATCTCTCCGGAATGGCCCTTTGGACATTTCATGTGCAAATTCAGCACCTTTATACAAGGTCAGAAATATCTTTTATGATTTAGTGGGTGGTTGGAGGATGCTTTGATATGGTTTGCCCTTTTTTGTTATCAAATATCTATACTGGCCAGCAAAAAAGTGTGTGGGGGAGGGGGGGGGCACCTTTTGATTGTATTTTTTAAAATCTAGTCTTTAGAGTCTGTACGATTTTCCTTTCACTTGAGCAATACTAAGTACTCTAAAAGTAGATGGTGTTATTTTTTAAACCAACATGTTGGTGCTTAAATTAGTGTTTACAACTCCAAAGTAAAAAAAAAAATAATTTAGAAAAAATAGGACTGTGACGCTATTCCCCGACCATGTGGAGGACTTTTTGCCTTCAATTTTTGTATAAAGTTTACATCTGTGTTTATGAAAAACAATCGCATATTAAGAAACTGCCACAGAGAAAGATGGTAACATTAGATAAATGGAACCCTCGGCAAGTTCCGAGCGTTTCTTCAGTTGCCAGGACACTCAACGTCCGTTTTAAGATTGGTTTTTAGAAGTATGGGGTTTTACGGTGCTCACAACTGCGTAAGGTCATATGAGCGCTAAGATTGGTTTACTGTTTTGTTTCTCTCCCCAGTTACGTTAGTGACATCCAGCGTTCTCACGCTAACTGTCATCTCAGTGGAGCGTTTCATCGCCATCGTGTACCCCTTCCGACCTCACTGGTCAGCATGCACCACTGGTTTGATTATCGGTGAGTCTTGGCTGATAGCAGATCAGAAAGAGAGAGAGAGAGAGAGAGAGAGAGAGAGAGAGAGAGA